GACACACACACCTCAAGAAAGGACTTCAACAACGAGGCCCTGCAGCCGGTGGTGGCAGTATGCCCGAGTAGAACACAAGGGCATATGTCTCCAGACTTCCCTCCATCGTCCGAGTACGAAGCAGAAGAGACTGGGCCGCTGGAGGGTAGGTAGTTTCGATGCAACGAGAACTGACGCAACTGGCCAGAAGCTACTGAACTCCCACTGTTGGTGAATTGAGTGTAGGGTGTTGTGGTGCCCACACTGGCGGTGCTGACAGCTGAGGAGGGCAGCGGGAAGCACAGGCAAGGAGAGGAAGGGTAAGCAGGCTCCAGCAAAAGCGTCTGGTACTGCAGATTTCGGCTGCAGTGCTGGCAGACAAGTTCGCTAATCAACATCGCCATTACTCTACATTCAGATGCATATGCACATAGAAATGGAAGAAAGGCCAGATTACGGAAAATGACAGGAATCAGTGGAAAGATGAACTGAGTAAAAAAGAGGGAGACAAAATGGGAGCGCAAAAAGATGATAAAACATGCGAGTGAATATACTGTACAGTAAAAACATGAAGGAAAAAGAGGTCAGACTGGAATAGATTCATGTATGAACACCAAAGTTATGGGCAAAATAGATAGTCTCCAAGAGTTGAATAACGTAGTTGTAGTCCTGATTAAAAGCAAGGGTAAACCATCTACCAAAGACAATGTTCGACACATGCAACGGCTTGTCACTAATGTTGGAAATAACAAGACCGACAGAGGAATTACGAAAAAAATGGGAATTTGGCGAAGTAGGATGTCGTCTTCACATTAAGGCAATGAAAGATCCCATAATGCAAACACGTAAGCATAAAGACAAAATTGATCGAAAACTCACACTCATTCACTGCATTGCTGTCGATGAGGCGTTGTTAAACTTCTAAATAGCCACAGAATCAAATTAGTGAGCAAATTTTAAATTCGAAAACTAGGAAAACAACTCTTTTTTCGTATTTAAGTAAAGTTTTGAGACAACCAGTTAATCCGTAATATGAGTTCTATTCTCCATGGATGAGAACAACTTTTGGGAAAGCAAGGCTATGTGAAATTCAATAGAAAGGTAAGCTCTATTCATATCATTGTGGGAAAATTCTACAACCAGACCTTCATCACATTAAACGAAATTGGGTGAATACATCTCAAAGAAATCTTTGGCAAATGGCATAAGATACGCTGTTGATTGAATAAATAATATCAGCTTTAAACCCAGTAAAAACACATTATTATAAAAATGATCCTCGTTTTGCATCAACCAAATAATGAAGAATACAGAATAAGTAAGTTTAGATAAAAAAGGAGGAATCCAGAGAACTTTGAAATTTGATCTATAACATAAAAATAAAGGTAACAGAGAGCGAATGGAATTAATAGAATAGTAAAAAGGATTTTGAATCGTGAAGAGAATAAGAGGTAAAAAAGGAAAAAAAACGTAAGTGGAAAGAATGTCTGTTATAAATAGCAGGCATGAAAAACAATACTAAGATAATAGAAAAATATTTTAGTTAAGATATGAAGACCAAGATGTTGTGATCTCTGGTATGATCGCATTCCCCTTTTGATTTATATAAGTGGATTGACCTCGTTGTCACAACTTGGTCTTGTTATCAGGGCGACTTGGTAGAACGCATCTTGTGAATTCCATCGTGAATTGAAATTTTTCATCAATTCTGGACAGAGAGGAAGATATCCTGGAATCACAACTGATCAGGAGGGAGTCGCTAACAAGGCTAATTAACTTTGAAATAAGGACAACCTATTTTACATTCAACGGGAACATTTATGAACAAATATTTGGACTTTCCATGGGATTGCCGCTCTCACCACTTTTGGCAAACGTATACATAAACAAAATAGAAGAGAAGTTCATGATGGCACTGCTACAACCGGCAGTGCTCATGTGGTACCTGGATGATTATTTCGCACCTTGGTCACATGGAAGAAAAAAACTGGAAGATTTTTAGAAGTTTCTAAACCAGATTGATGAAAAAATTCTATTCATGATGGAAGTAGAGGAAGGTGAGCGGTTATCGTTCCTGGACGTTGAAGTGAATCGCCATTATGGGACGCTCAAAAAGAAATTGTTTAGAAAGAAGTCCTATTCTGGGATAATATTCAATTTCCGGTCCCATCACAATTACAGACTGAAGATTGGAATAATGAGGAACATGATCATCCGAAGCCTACGCCTAACGAATGTAGAATTCTGGGACGAGGAGTTGGACAAATTGACTAAGATATTCCTCGGCGACGGTCACCCAAGCGAAGTAATACTATGAAACAAACGGGCGATGTAAAGCCGATGGCAGAACGGGAACTATGAAAGAACGGTAAAGACGATGAAGGACTCACAAAAGTGAATAAGCCTACCTTCCTGCGAACTAACTCAAAAACTACATTCAATATTGAGTAAATGGAATATTTAGGTGGCCATAAAAGAGAAATCAACACATTTCACAAGTCTACCAACGCAACATGAAATGGTAGACAAATTGGACTGTTCAGGAGTTTACTGTATATCATGTGGCGCCTGAAAACAGAAATATATTGGCAAAACAGGGAGAAAAATTGGCACACGAATCAAGGAACATCAAAGGCTTTGCAGAAAAATGGATACCGAAAGATCAAAACTAGCGGAACACATAGCAAAGACTGGACACGATATCAATTGGAAGGCAACAGAACACAAGGAAGCGGAAGATTAAGGAGGCTATTGACATGATTTGGGAAAAAAATGAAATGAACAGGAAATTGGAGGAAGGTAGAATTAGCGATAACTTTACCTACTGCTTAAGCAAA